GATGATTTTGAAGAATTATGTCCCATAATTGAATTATAATTTAATTTGCATCTAAAATAGGATATAATAGCTATATTAGTCGATATATTATATATAGAAGAAAAAGAAAAAAAGTAGATGTCTATGTCAGGGTCATAAGTAAAAATATTACACTTCTGTTCATTACAAGGTTTATCAACATTTGTGCAAACGTTGATCGATTGATGTAATAAGCTTATCTATTATTCGCATTTGAGTGTATAAACATACATAGAAACAAAAAAAAAAATGTCATGATTAAATAGGCTTTTTTTTGTTTTATGTAATAGATCAGATTTCATGACGTTACATGACGAAAAAGAAAGATTATTATTGTGAAATATAGACAAAGACGGAAATGAACGATTACGTTTTTATCGACATCGAAAAAAGAAACGAAACTGGAGGAGAAGGAGGTGAAGGAGGAGAAAATAAAAAGAATGTGTATCCTTTTCATAATAGTTTATACTTATCTTTATGTTTCATCCGAGCCAACATTGACAAGATTCATCGGACAGAAATGTTCGTGCACACACAAATAGAACAACAAGAAATAGAATAGTACATATATGTGTACTCAAGTGATTAGTCTCCTCCTATTTAATTGTTCTTTTCTACAACAGGTTCAATTTTATTTTTTCTGTCTGCACTTGAAAATGCAGTGCTTTATGTTTATTTTTACAAATGAACTTTACACATATACGATAGGGAGGATCGATTGAATGTCGATTCATTTAAATCTATTCGATGGATTTAAATTACTGCCACTCTACATGTCTTCTTTTCTCTATTGTATACAAACTAAAATGAAGATCAAATTGCAACGAATGAGAGAAAAAAAAAGGTTTTCGGATCTAATTGACAAATAGAGTAACGATATAAGTAAGACAAAGAAAAAAGGATAGTTATGTCATCGTCTATTTCATCGTATAGTGAAGTGTCATTATCATCGAAAACTGTCTAAAGCATACGTCGGTATAATGATAATGACAAAAAAATAAAGAAGAATAATGATTGATTGTCGACAAGCGGTCTGGAATGATAATAAGGACTGAGTTTACAAAGAATAATTGATTTTTCCGCAGACCAACTAAGCTCACAAAGTGTCCTTCAGTTGTATACACAAGAAAAGAAGTGACACTGAGTAATCTATTAAGTAAATACGTACAACGTTGATGAGATAGAAGGGAAAACCTTCACTCATGCCATCCATTAAAAAAGCATAAAATAATTACACATCAATGAACTAAATGTCTATCTACGTATGTTTACATATGGGAACTACACATCCAAATAAACAAACTTGAAAAAGAATGCATATATATATATATATATATATATAATATGTCTCATCTGAACAATTAGGAAAGTTTCATTTAAATTTGTCTTTTTAAAAGAATATATCAAAATGAAAAGAGATATTTAACATTTATTCATTGTTTTCTTTTCTTTTGCTCTCATCTGTATTTTTTCATAAACAAATCATTACAGATGTTTTTCCGAATTGGTTAGTTTAATGTTCAATCACAGATGACACTAGAAGCTGGATAGTGTTTTCCAGATTGTATGAGAGAGAAAGAGAATCTTAACATCTTTGCTCCATATGATTCATCAAAAAAGATATCAATAAACATATGAGCATATGCTATTTAAAATCTATTTATCATTTAGTTGAAATGCATTCGACAATATGTCGAATGTTAAGTGGGTATTAATTCAATAAGATTTGTCGATGTAGAAAAAAAGTCTATTTGACTCTGTCAAACGTCTAATAGAACTACTAATTGAATCTGAACTGTTATTGTTGACCGATTTGGTGTGAAAGGATAGAAAGAGATATACATATTGATGAAAGTTCAGAGAGAAAGAAGAGAATGATAAAGCACATTTGATCCATTGATTGAATAGAATCGTATTTCGTCAATGATCAATAGATAAATATGGGTTGAGATTGTCTGAAAAGGTCAATTGAACTTTAATTGTATATGTCAAATTTATTTTAATTATGATTGAAAATAAAATAATAATAGAATTTAATTCAATCGTTATTAGTACAACAACAATAGATGTTTACGATTCCGATGCAAACACTTTAAATAAATAATGATGAAAATATTTCGACTATAGTCAAAAATCTTTCAATATCTTCCATGTTAAACAACTGTTATGACTGGTTTAAACTCTAGTATAACTTTCTATTAGAGCATTAAAGAAACAACTTCATTCTCAACAAGTTGTTTATATATTATTTCTTTATTTTCATGAACAATATATTTCTATAAATTATATTTACTTTTACAAAAACTCTTCTCACACCGAAATTTATTATTTGGCAAAACACAATTGTGAAATGAATATTGATATCTATAGCAAGACAGTCAGACGTTTATCTTTCTCAAAATAATATTTTTGTCCGAAAGATAACAAAAAGTATATTATTCAACTTCTCTTACTTCTGATGATTTTACAAAAAAACAGAGACATTGCCATAGATAAGAGTCTACACATCCTTGATTTAGTCTCGTAGTCAATGAATGCAAAGTAAAACGGTGAAAAAGAGTTCATACGAGAGACTTGATAGTGGAAAGGCTACATGATCAAAAAACTTCGCTAAAATGTACAAGCAGAAAAACTTTTCTCCTAAAACAATACGATATCGAAAGCATTTTGGACAAATCGCGAAGCTTAAAGCATAGAAATAATAGAAAGTAATTCTTTCCGATTTAAAAAACCAAGAATATTTCGCGCATAGGTATTAAGTAATGGAAAAAAAAAGAAAAATTAGTAAAAAGAAGATTGAGAATGATATATTCGAACTATTCTCTATACACTCTTATTCACAATCGTAGATACTTCACGAAGAAATCCCTTCAGTTCAATTTCTAGATGCTCGTACTTTGATGATACAGTTCTTATTATGCAAGTTCTTTTTGAAACCACTATTTATTTTTTCTAGTCGATGTTTAAATAAAATTTCTTATTATTTTAAATATTCAAACAGATCCAAGACATTGGCGTATTCTTTTTCAGTCTGATATTTCGAGTTTTCAAGCGGATAGACATGTCCAGAATAAATGGACAAGATTAATCACAATTCGGCACGTGTAGTAAAAACAAACAATGTCAAATCAGTCACATTCCATCCGTTGAACAAATAAAAAGACCTACTGTTTTGATATACATTTAGCATGATGAATTGCTGTTATACACAGCCAAACGACATCATCAAAGTAAAACATTCGTTGAAAATTCTTTCGTGATTTTGATATTCGCTACGTTGTGCATTCGTTGTTTTGGTAACGGGTGTTATACCTTTTCATTCAGATGTTTTTCGCTCAATAGACACGATAATCTAACGAAATCGAAATAATACCATCATGAAAAAAAGTGTGCATATTTGAACTTGAACTATTTCGCCTTTCTCTTTCAAATCGTCATCTTCTTCGTCATAGAAATACTTATGAGAAAAGCATCTCCCTATCTGTAGTAAGACTGACATATCATAATGTTCTAACCAGGTTTGCATGGTGTCAAGTGAGATACAGGTTGAATGCACTTTTTGTTTATACATGTGGTACACAGGCATGAAACACAAATGTTAAATATGGTAAGATGCCCTATGAAAAAACAACTACTTATACATAAGAGTTTATTTTTGGTAAAAAAGACTGTATATGATGTTTTTTGTTTCCAAGTGATGATCTGTGTAAGATGCTCATTTTCTATTAAAAATGAAAGTTTAATAAACCATTTTTCGATATGATTCTGCCTCAGCAATCAAGAAGAATATATTGCTGTAAAATAAACGTTATCTCTGTATATTAATTGGCTAAATCTTATAAGAAATCTATCATTTTTTTTTTGTTCTCTTCTAGTTCCTAACCCATTTGGGCCGAGAGTAAATTCAGTGTTATTTGGAGTATAGAATTGATATGTTAAGAAAAAATTAACTTTAGCCATAGCAGTGAAGGTACTGTTTACATTTAAAGTTATGTCAAGACTTGTGTACCTAAAATAGGGATTTTTCGATGATTTTTACTAACATCTGGTTTATTGTATCTACTGGCGAAAAAAAAATGTACAATGCCATACAAAATGTTGATCTCATGGCGAAGGTTTTATCAGTAGAAAATTCAAAAGCAGGTACTGTTCTCCAAAATGGAGCAATTAGGGAAGCTTTGCAGTTACGATCAAATAACTGATCTTCGTAAGTTCGCATAAGTGCTTTCACATACTGTCCGTAGATGTACAATTATATTCAAATGATGTTGACAACATATTCGTAGATAATCATAGTTACACCTTCAATTCATTAATATCAATTCTTTGCCAAGATTACTGAAAATCGATATTTATTGATTCTGGAATAGTGTTTGTAGAGTTTTGTACATGTTTGGGCATTATTTGTAGGTATTCGTAAGTTGTCAAGAGATGTTAACAGGCAAATCTTAAATTGAATTAGTTCAATTATCTTTTGGAGCAGCTCCAAATGACTGTTTGAAAGTGTTAGTGAATATAGCTCATGAAGTTTTATGTACTTGTCTACATAGATCTAAATTACAATTCTTGTTAAGGTATTCGTAGCTGTTTGTGTTTTTCACGATAATCCTTTTACCTACAATTGTGTTTTTTTAAAGCTGAAATGTAAAACATGTTATTTCAAGTTTACTATTTAAAGTAAAGTGAAAACATCACATATTTGGCGGAGAATCGAATACAAAATTCGTAATTCAAGTATTGCTAAAAGGTTTCTTCTGTTTGTCTAAGTGAATTATTATTTCATGCAATAAACAATAAACAAACCACGTGGATTCCTGTTTGTTTTTTCGTTTACGAAAGTCATGTTGAATCAAGATGTGAATATTCTCAAAAAAATTTCTTTCATGATTTAGATATAAAAAAATTGTTTTATTAATATTCTTAAATATCTTGGTTCACTTTTTTTTTCTTTGTTTTTATATTTCAAAACAAACAGAAACAAATTATTTATCTTCATCAATCTGTTCAAGATAACACGTTTCAGTATTTCCATTCATAAGATCACCTATTGTTTCATCACCAATTTGATCATATTGATAACGTTTGCGTGGATAACCCCATAATAATTCAAATTGATTAGGTACATTTGAATTTGTCCATGCAAATTCAAATAAAAGTTTAGCGGAATCATTACGACGAAAACGACGACGGATAGGATCATCAGCTGGTAAACGTATTGATACTTGAATTGTTTCATTTTCTGTTGATGATGGTTCCGAAGGTAATGTTTGTTTTAAACGATCACGAAATACAGCAAATTCCTTATAATTATAAAAGAAATTAATTTAATTTTGTTTTTTTTTTATCTCTTTTTATAAATATCTCTTTTTATAAATTACTTGAAGTTTTCTTTGTTGTTCTTCTTCTATTTTACGTCGTTCATTTTCTTCACGTAAACGTTGTTCAGCCTTAATTAATAAAAACATTTAAAAGAAAAACAAAAATTAAATATAATCAACTTTTTCTTGATCAGCTCGAACGGAATCTAAATAAGCAGCATTTTGTTCTTGTAAAAGACGACCTCTTGAATCACTCATAGTTCTTCGTTCACTATAATTGAAGATTTTTGTTCAATAAAATATATTCTACTACTTCTATAAATTTACCGATTATATTGTAATGTTTGATCAGCATGTTGAACACCATAGATAATTTCTGCTAAACATTCATCAGCATCTAAATTAGTAAAAATAGAACAAAACAAAATGTCAAGTTATTTATATTTATAAAATCTATTTACCCGTATATCGTTCTAATTTAAGTTGAACAGTTTGCTGTGAACCATGATGAACAATAATACAAAAGCAAGGAAATGATCTTGCATTTAATAAACGAGTAGCTAAATTATTTTTAAAAATAAAATATTATTACAGAAAAATAAAAAAAAACTCACCATCAATTCCTTCTTGCGTATCTCGACTTGTACTCCACAAGAGATTACCAGCTACTGTTGATTGTAGAGCATCTCCACAAAGTACTTCGCTAAGACAATAAATAAATAAAAGAAATTAGTTTCAAGATTTATTGAGATTTATCTATTAATAGTATTTATTCAATTTTAACTATATCAAAAATAAATCCTGGAAGCTACTGATGTGCTTATGGCAAAGTTTCAATCGATGCTGGACAGTGTTTTATCCAGAGGGGTGCCCGCGCCCCCCTCGAAAATCGAGTTTGCCCCCCCGAAACTTGCGATCATCGTACTATAAACACGTGGCTTGCCCCCCCGAAAAAAATTTTTCCCCCCCCCCCCCCCCCCCGAAATTCCAAATCGCCCCTCCGGAGAAAAAATCCTGGATAAAACACTGATGCTGGACT